AACCCCCGCCCCCAAGAGAAAAAAACCCAAACCCGAAAGGCAACCCCCGGGGGGGGCGGCAGGGCACAAACCGGGGGGGCCAGGCGCCGAAAACCCAACCCCGGGGGAAAACCCCGGGGGGGGGGGGCATATTCCGGGGGGGGTGGGGAAAAAAAAGAGACGGAAAAAAGTGGAAGGCAAGAGAAGCACAACAAGGTCAAGAAGACACGGGGACAAGGGGCAGAGGGCCCCCACCCTAGTGCTCCACCAGTTGCTTGAGTTCAAGCAGACACAATTCCGACACACATGAGCCCCCTACCCAGCCCGTGCGGACTCCCAACCCCGCACGCGAAAACAAACACGCAGGAGAGAAAAAAAGTACACCAAAGGCAGCACACGTGCTGCCGCTTGCCACGTGTGTATACAGACACACACGCCTCGCTGACTTCTCTCGCAGCTCTTGCTACATCATGCATGCATCACGCACCTAAGATAATCCTGTTAAATAGGTGTGCATACACACGCACCCCATCGAGTTCTCCACGACCTCTTGCTACGCATGTACACGCACCCACAGATGAGCTCTTGCTATATATATAACGTACATACGACAAGCACCCACCGAGTTCTCGATCAGCCCGTTCGCCCCCGCGTGGTGGCCCGGCGGGCGGACCGCGCAGAAGGCGTTCCGGTTCTTACCCGCCAGCACGCGGTCCACGGCGTGAGTCACCGCACCGGCAGCGCGCCTGGCTGCTTTGAGAGACCCTGCATCATGTGGAGGCGGCGGGGGGGGGGGGGGGCTAGTCATGTTTCGCATGCCGTAGGTGATGTTGGATCTTGGACCACGAGTCCTCGAGAGGATGGAACATTGACTGGTAAACAGGGAAAAATATTGCTGCAATGAAGCCTCATGGGGAACGCATCCGTTCGAACGGGTATTGTATAATAGTTGGACCGTCTCTCTGTCGTACATGTTTCAAAGAATCATTGCCACTATATACAAACTGTCCTCGGGTGAGAGCAACAGGATAAAGACAAGCATGTTGCCTAGAATAGACTCTCTTCCAAGCATTCCCTGCGGAGTGGGCTCATGAGAGAACAGTCGTGTCATCAAATGGGTGACGCAAGATGCAAAGAAAACCAGGCAGGGCCCACAGCTTGCCTGTTTCGCCTCGAATAGCCCAGTGCAACAAACCCAACAAAAAGAAGAAAAAGTGTGTGGCATACACCAGCCTTGTACTTGCCCTTGGAGAAGGACGTGTCGCAGGTGTCCTTGGGCTTGACGTCGGTCTGACCCTTCTTGAGCAGGTGCTGCTGCACCATGGGAGTGAACGGCACGCTAGTGCCGGCGTCTTCCCCCTGAAACGACAAAAAAAAAAAAAATACAAATGCTT